CTTCATGGTCAAAATCATGGAACAGAGCACATTATCAAAAACGGGTTTCCTTCTCAAGCTCTCTATGGATTCCAATGGCTAAAATATGTTCCTATCCAAGAACTCCGGGGCTACAGGGTGGGGGTCGGGTAGAAGTAGTCAGGCTGCAGCAGATAAGCCTCCCCCTGAATCTTCACAGACACTGACGGTTCAGGCAGGGGAGAGTGACAGTCCCACCAGCTGACAAATCCCAGGCCTCGGCGGGTTTCCCAGAGTCCTCAAACAACAGAGCATAAAAGCTCTGTGGGCTGACTCCCACAGTAAGGTAGGAGGGCGGTGAAAGCACATGACCAAGGGACAGGCATAAAATACCCTCTCTTCTCTTAATGACAGGTTCTCCCTCCTCATCCTAGAGTCATCTTTCCAGCCACAGGATGCTCATGGGCAAGTCCACCCACATCCACCCTGCACACCCTGACAAGCACCCTACCTCTGCTGCAGAAGCCTTCCCTAACCGCTGAAGGCTGCAGATAGGGCCTGGTACACTGTCTGGACACTCACCTGGCCTGTGGGGCTCCGGCGGCTTGGCTTCCTGCAACTCCTACCTCGGTTTTCACACCTTACACTTTGCAGCTCCACTCCCCACCCAAACGCAAAATTAAATGCTCTGGAGAGAGAGGTGCAGGGGTTGGGGGTAGCACAATGCTAGAGTAGAGCACTTGCCTAGAACGCTCCAGGCCCTGAACCGTTCAATCTAGCATCTCACACAGGCTCCCAGTATTCTTCCACCCAGTGATAGCCAAAGCCTGTGTTACTTTCAGTTTGGAGACAAGCTCTTACTGAGTTCCCGGGGCTAGCCTTGAACTCATTTTGTAGCACGGGCAGACCTTGAAACTGTGATCCACCTGGCTCAGCCCTGAGTGGCTGGGATCACAGGCCAGTCCCATCAAGCCCAGCAGCCTTAGTGAGGGTTTATGCCACGTGGTTAGATAGACAAGCCCTCCATTTCCCATTTAGTCTTGGTAAGACACTGATAAAGATGGACTCTGCCACTCGGTCTCATGTAGCTCAAACTCACTACGTATCAATGGATGACCCCAAACTCCTAATCTTCCTCGCCCCTCAAGTGCCAGGATGACAGGCACGTGCCACCAGGCCTGGCTAAACAATACCAGTTTTCAAGGAGTGTTTCCAAAGGCCTGTGTGAGGTTTTCTTTTGACTTTCTAGAGCCTTGTGCAGCCAGCCACTGTCAGAGTTCCTTTCTTTTCAATCCACTTTGCATCAGTCATAAACGTAAACTTTTGAACTTCTCCATCTCAACTGATGTTATGTGATAAATCAACACTAGACCGGATGGGGGTGCTTTGCTGACATGCCTTTGTGTATTTCTTCTTATCAGGTCCAATTCTGTGCTTCTGTTTATATTTGTGATGCTCATTATGTGCTCTGGCTATAAGCAACCTCAAGCCCGTGTGAATCAGCCTGTGTGTTTAGAAAACAAAGATATTACATGCATCCAAAAACCCCTCTTACTCATCCTGGAAGATAAACTGTCTTTTTTTGTTTTGTTTTATTTATCTCCCAATCCCTTCCTCAAACCAGAGTGGAAACTTCATGGGAATGAGTGAAGGGATGAATGTCTATGGAATGAACCTCCAGGAAGCCTTGCAAATTCTAGCCCTACCCACTGTGGCCTTCTGCCCAACAGGAGATGGCCAGGACACAAACACTAGCAAGGGGCCACGTGGATTCAAATCAGCGGTCCATGCATGTCTCCGAAGGGGGATGATTCTGAGCACTGTTACCTGGCTTCTCTCCGGGTCAGTCTCCGCCTGGAAAGGAGGCTCCATGTGCTCCGGATACAGAGTGTTTCACAGTTACCCATGTAGATACCAAGCCCACGTCAGTTCTAATCTGGGCCACGACAATAACTGTTGTAAAACAGAGGGAAAGAGACCTCGGTGAGTTGGAGCCGAGGAGACCCCACAGACACGCCATGCAGACAAGGCAGGTGGCGGTCACAGCAAGTGGGAGCTGCAGGAAAGACTCGTAATGCAGGCGGTACTCGAGTGAAAAGTTTTATTAAACGGGGAAGGGAGCAGGGGTGGGGAGAGGGAAGAGGTGAGGAGGTACGCACCTCCTGGGAATAGAGGTGGGAGGGAGGGGTTTTCTCTTAAAGAGGACTTGACCTAAGATGACAGACAGGGTGCTGGGCGGGCCAGAATGCTAACACCTGTGCCACGGTCCCCATTCCCCCTTCTCGGTAAACCTACTGAAAGACGTCCTGCCCTCCCACAACAAATCCAATTTTGGCTGAAATTCAAGTCAATGAACAGCCTCAAAGTGAGAGCAAGAGGGTTTTTGTTTGGTTTGGTTCGGGTTTTGTTTTTTTTGTATTACTGAAGTATATGTGCTTGGTTTTGTTTTCTGTATTAGTCCTGAAGTCCATGTGTTTGGTTTTGTTTTCTGTATTACTGAAGCACATGCATTTGGGTGACACGGGCCTAGACTTCTACTGAGCAGCTCAAGGCCTCCCGACTCTGAGTTTACATCTCTATTCACAGCTGTGGGCTGCGTTGCCCAAGCATGCAGTCCTGTCTGCAGAGGCAGCTGCTGGCAAAGCGACATTTTACAAGACACAAACCAAATGGCCTGGGACACATTAGCAGAGAGAGGCTTTCTCTACTTCCCACTACCAAGAAAAAAAAAATTATGAAAAAGTTTTAAAGATCTTCAGATGCCATCCTTAGATAATCGGCTGGAGCCCAGGAGAAACCACTAGCTGCGTGGAATTTCTTATTACCAAACGTTCATCAACTCCCTGAACTCCCTATGTGTAGGAAATGTCAACACCACCCACAGAATGTCTTTATTTTGCTTTGTTGCTCTCACACGTAAAGAATAATGCTCAATTACATATATTCTTTGGGGGGTGTGGGGGCGTGGAGGCATGAAGAATGAGTCAAGGGCCTCATCACCCTGTAACCCAGACTGACCTCCACCTCCTGGGATCGCAGGTATAGCCCCTATGTCCAGCCTAAGTATTTCTGGAGAACAGAGAGGAATGTGTGTGTTTATACTCAGCTTTTGACCTGAGTCAGAGAAAATATTCCTTAACACAGGTATTAAAATTCTACATATAACAACTGACTCTTCAGCTACCTTTTTTTTTTTTCTCTTCATTATATTGCCTTAAGTGCCTACCAATTTAGCTGCCACAGTTTTGCCTCTTCCGTCCCTGAAATAATATTGTTTTAGGCTGTGGAATTAACAAGAAGTCTCTTAATTTTAACTGGTTAGGAGTCTTAGCAGCATTAAGTATATATGACGCTCCTAATTAAACACCTGCAAAACCCATGGCCATATAGAACCAGAGAGAACAGAAAGGACCCTTTACAAGCACTGACCACCCACAGAGTCTGTAACACACATACACACACACACACACACACACACACACACACACACACAC